TTTATGAGATATTTCTATTAATTGTTTCAATATTTGAGTTCTAGGATTTTAATAAACAGATTATATTTTAGTGTTGTGACCTCTTTATATATATTCTTTCAACATTAGTCAGTTTTCAAAGGGCTAAGGGCAAGTAGAAGAAAGATGTGTTACTTTAACTGGAAATTCTACTGAGTGCTTCACAAATGTTACCCTATTTATCTTTCACTAAAAACACAATGAAGTAGATATTATTTTCCCCATTTAAAAAATAAGGAAACTAAATTTCAGAGTAATTTAGTAACTTATCCTATACCACAAAGCTAGTAATAGGACAGAGTTGAAAGTGAAACATGGATTGTTCTGATTGCAAACCCACACTGCTTTATATCAGCTTTCTTCTCCAAAGACACAGATTTAAGCTCAACACAGGTTAGGCTCAGCATCCACCTAATGGGGCAGAGTCCAGAACAAAAAAGAGTTTATGTTATTATAGCCTAACCCTTAACATCAGAAAGAATGCATCCTTTAGCCAGCATATACTTGGGGGGTTCATTGGCACCCTTGGTAAGAGTAGACATCCTCGCCTTAGTGGCCTAATTATTTCCTACTAGCAACTCCCTCTCCCTGCTTTTCTGCAAAATCACGTGGTGCCGTAGGGCATTGCTCCAAAGGGGGGCGATCTGAGTGGGAGACACCATGCTGTTCTCATATCCCATCTTACCTATAATTGTGGTCTTCTTCATATCATCAAATTTAACCATCTGTGTTCTTTGTGATGTGATAAATGCTTTCCCAGGAAGCTTCCCTGTATATCCCGTATGCAGATTCATGGAGCTACTTTATCAGTGCTCAGGCTGATAGGAATAAGGGAAAAAAAGAACGTAGCACAAGCTAAAGCTATCTTAGATTCACATCTCGATTGTGCCACAACTGATTAAATAGTTCTGCTTCTAAGAATAATTTAGCCTTCCAGATCCTGAGTTTTATAGATGCTAAATGATGTAATTTATGTGAATCTTAATTGAAGGGATATGTATGTGGGATTTTTTTTAATGAGAAGGATATAAGGATAATGAGAATAAAAATGATCACATTTTCAGACTTTCAGATCACATTTAAGACTGAGTGGTGGTAAAATTCATGATTAAACAACTACAGAACAACAAAATCCAATTTTATTTTAATGATTCATAAATTATTATAATATTTACTGAACAATGGTAATTTCTCAAAAAAAAATCAGCGATTCGAGTTTGTAAGTTTTTGTGCTTGTTTTTATTTTTCCTTGGTTGGAAATATTGGGGAAGGTCTCCGCCAAAGGAGGTTGAAGGTCGGTGCATAGGAGGTTGGGCATGAAATGGTTTTCATTGTTCCTACTTAGAGACAAAACTGTGAGAAGAATCCTGTATAAAGTTTTACGTTCTATGCAGAGCTACAATTCGAAAAGTATTCTTGAGATAGCATCTAGGATAAGAAATAAATACAAAAATAATCGGTCCTTATCTTTGTTACATTCGCTTCCTGCCCCGACACACTAAGAATTCTCATCCACTGTGTACCTACAGTAACTCCGCTAGGAAATTTCAGGGTCTATATGTAGAGATACAAACTCACCATTGTGATACCTTGTTAATTGGCTGAAATTTCAGCACTCATAGTGGCTTACTTCTTGTGTTGGTCTTCCTGTCCTTACTGTTGACCAGGATGCTAGTGAGATTAGAAAAGAAATACAGAGGCTGGACGTGATGGCTCACACCTGTAATCCCAGCTACTTGGGAAGCTGAAGTGGGAGGATCCTTGAGCCCAGGAGTTCGAGACCAGCCTGAGTAACATAGGAAGACCCCATCTCTACAAAAAATAGAAAAGTAGCCAGGTGTGGAGGTGTACACTTGTAGTCCCAGCTACTTGGAAGGCTAAGGCAGGAGGATCGCTTGAGCCCAGGAGTTCGAGGCTACAGTGAGCTATGATCATGCCACTGCACTCCAGCCTGGGCGACAGGGCAAGACTCCACCTCTAAAAGAATGAAGAGAGAGAGAGAGAGAGGAAAAGAGAGAATAAAGAAATATATAAATGAACAAATAAATGAATGGACATGAATAATTTTTGAAATCACTGTAAATGTTTAGCCTGGAAAAGAAGAGACAGAAAAGTAATGGGATATGTCCCACAGAGCACCTGTAAGAAACAAAGTGGTTGTTTATTGCTTCCATCAAAGGGAAAAACTAGAATCAATAGGTAGGTTTATAGAAAGGTGGAATTAAAATCAATATGAGAAAATATTTTTGAATGTTATAAGTTAGCCAACAATGAGGTTTTGTGGATTG